ATATTATCAAGCCTCGTCGGGCTGATTGGGGAAATTCAGGTCCTACGGGATTTTGGTCCGTACTATTGTAATTTTCAGGGATACTATGTTTATTATTATTATTATTATTATTATTATTATTATTATTATTATTATTATTATTACTAGTACGACGCCCGCGTATTATACGGGTGCTTGCTAATTTTTTCCTTAAAATCTAAAATTAATGAGAAAAAGTAGTTGAAAATTTAAATACCTTTTATAAGAATATATATTATTATATATTTAGTACGACACTTTTTATTTGTGCGACTTACATGTGTTATATTATAATAATTTTTTAACTTACAACATATGACTACATTAAACATAATATATGAATTGAGAAATAATTTTATTTTTCTAATGATTTTAATAAATATTATTGTTTTTATTATTATAAAGATAAATATAATTTATTTATTTCATATATACAATATGGATGTCAAATCGAAGATCATCAAAAGATGATTAATTTCATATATTATATATGCAAAACCGATAAGATATACAAAAATTATCAACTTTTAAAATACATTTACAATTCAATTAGTACATTTACAATTCAATAGCTAATTGAAGGAAACAAATCAAAAGTCAAGGATATATTAGTCACTTAGTGCCTCACTATGTAAAATTACAAAGAATTAAAAAGTTATATTAGTACGAGTGTTATTAAAATACTTAAGTTAGCTAAATAATATTTATGGAATGTCCGAACCTAGATTATTAATTATTAATATATCAATATTATTTGTCCAAACCTAATTACGAAACATGATTCTTCGCCTAGGATTTTGAAGCACCAAAAACAGCCACGTAGGCTCAGCGCATTCTGGAATTATATATAGAGAGGATTATTATTATTATTATTATATTATTATTATTATTATTATTATTATTATTATTATTATTATTATTTTATTTAGTATAGTGGGTGTATTTTAATTGCGGTTTTGCCGATAATATAATGATAGAGGAAATAAATAAAAATCAAATCAGAATTGAGTTAAGAAGAGGTTTTTGGAGAGTCCCGCCTTTGTGGTTTGAAAACTTGCACGTCACTTTAGATCACAGCTCGACCGCATATAAATTTAGGGTAAACAAAACCATAACTGCAAAAAAGTATATCTATGCATGTTCCATAACAATTTTTGCTTGCTTATTAATTTGCTTCTTCCCTTTCCCTCTCGTGTTTTTGACCTTATTAATTCATAAGGTAACTCGAGAAAATGGAAATAAACAGACTCGGCGTGAGGAAAGGTGCATGGACGAAAGACGAAGATGTCCGTCTCAGGAAATGCATCGAAGAATACGGTGAAGGAAAGTGGCATTTGGTTCCTCTTAGAGCAGGTGTATTATATATGATCATTTTTTTTTCTCATATGATTTATTTGTATAAACGATGTGCGATAACTCTGAAGTGATATTCTAACAAAATTTAAATTTTTTCCTTAATTTTTTGAAGGGTTGAAAAGATGCAGAAAGAGCTGCCGTATGAGATGGCTGAACTATTTGAGTCCAGATATTAAAAGAGGTGTCTTTACAAACGACGAAGTTGATCTGATCGTGAGGCTCCACAAGTTGCTAGGCAACAGGTATATATACCGTGTCTTTTTTTTGGTACACTAATTTTCCCTCCTAAAAAATAGTACGTTATTTTGGTAATTTGTATCATTATTAGGACATTAGTCGCGCAAATGATTCATTATTTTTTGGAATTAATGTCCAAGATGATACAAATTATAGCAACATAACGTACTATTTTTACGAGTAATATCCCAAAAATGATACAAATTGCAATATAACGTACTACCTCCTAATCTTTTAAATGTCATTTTGACTTTAAAATCAAACATTACCCAAATAAATAACGTTTTGGATATTTTGTACATATTTTTCTAGTATTACCTTCATTTAACTAATATATACATTGCGTCTTTTCATATTCATTCTTTATCTTTTCTCAAAACATTCGTGTCCATCTTCATTAGAGAGGGTTATTATTGACAAAAAAATATTTTTAATTATTGTGCAACTTCTCAAAGCAACACGTATTATGAACATGATGAAATACTGTTTCTTATAAAAAGAAAGTTAGTGTTTCAAAAAAAGACTTTATACAAGTAAACGGCCCAAAATTGAATATTCGCCACGCTTTTAGCCATGCGTGATGACCAATATATATATTTCTTTTTAAAATAAAATAATTTTGACGTAGATGGTCGTTAATCGCGGGTAGAATTCCCGGGCGAACAGCCAACGACGTGAAAAACTTCTGGAACAGTCGCATGGAAAAAAAGTCGACGGTCACAAGGCCCCGGCCAATGGTACCAACGAGCACACATGACGGGACAGAACCGAGCGAAAATCATGATAATCCCGAAAACAGTAGACAAGTCGAGGAACCGGACGAGTGCATGCGGTGGTGGAACAGCTTGCTTCGAGTGACGACTGAGAATGGAAATGGAGATTATTCTGTGATGATGATGTTGGATTCAGTTTAGATGCGGATCGATGTGGGAGTTAATTAATGATAAGGAATAATGATGATGATGATGATGATGATGATGATGATGATGATGATGATGATGATGA